TATAAGTACGATTGCAAAATTATCTCTTACTCTATGATTTCAAAAAAATGCTCCTTTTTTCTATTATCCATTTTTTCCCCTAATCATCAAAACCACAAATCATAAATACATTTTTTTCCATTTCATGCAAAAGGTCTATAAGGGGTTTCCAGTCAGCCTTAAATGTACGTAGATATTGTTTCTTCTCTAATCAAAGAAGTAAATGTAGCCATCTCTGCAAGTTTGATCATCTTCACCAACCATTCCTCTATTGTGTGTAGTGTCGAATCTTTCCATTTTTGAGCATATAGTAATCTCACTGCAGTTGTCATATACAAGAGCAAAGTTCCATGTTTTTTTCCTAGCTGTCTATCCATTAATCCCAAAAGAAAGGTCTCTGGTTTCAATTCTACATTAGTCTTTAAAATCTTCTGAATTAATGTATGTATTTGTATCCAACGTTTTTGGCTTTTTTACACATCCGGCGTATATGATAAAATGTCCCTTCATGTTGTTCACATTCCCAGCAGAGATGTGAAGTGCCTGTATACATTCTAGACAATTTCTCTACCAACAACACATCATTTTATAAAGATTCTCCTGAGGGTGAAAAAATTCGTAATTTCAAGCAGCATTTCAAGTTGTGCTCTTTTCTTCTTCCCTCCCAATCCCTTTCCTTTTATGTTGTGCTTTTAGAATGCAAGGGTAGATAAATGTATCCTGCACTTAACAAGAGGGGAGGCAAAAACCGCACCAACTTTTATAACCGAAAATGGGCAGTTTGCAGCTCTGAAGTCCCCCTTCTGCAGCCCTTGGGACATCATGCCCATTGATAAGTTCACCCATTTCTATGAGCTTAGCAAGTTTGTATCCATTGCTAAAGATTTCGTCAACTGGGTCTGTAGGTTAACGTTGCCCGCTTCTAATATTTGCAGAATTTTAGTGATGGACAACGGACAAGTGGCAGAATTTGATACCCCAGCAGCATTAAGAGCCCAGAAGGGATTATTCTACAAAATGGCGGTGGACTCAGGGCTGGTGGGGTGACTGAGCTGAAAGAACAGACTGGACTGCTGCTTTATCTGAAAAAGGGACATCTTCTTATCCTTCCGTCTCTGAGCCAGCGATAGCCAACCACTGATGCTTTTTCTTCCTGTGTAACTGCAGAGCAGATGGACAACAGAAGTCTGGATCTTCCCGGCTTAATTTCAGCATGCCCCTCGGTGCGCCACAATGCAGGAACCAGCATGCGCGTGACCACGATCCATGCTGCAAGCTGAACTATGCATGGCTCGAGCAGATGTTCTGCTGCCAGCCCGGACTTTGGCGGGATTGTGTCAAAGATGTCACCCCTTCACCATGGTCCCCCTCGCTGCCCTGTTGCTTTGTCCCCAGTTAAAGCAAGGAATAGCAGAACTGGTGCAGGCCAAAGCGATGGGCAAAGCCAGCCATTGTACCCTGCTGGAGACAAGTCCCAAAACATTGCAAACACTGACTCCTTAGATCTCCGCCTTCCAGAAGTTGCCAGGATTCCCCTCACCCCATATTCCCAGCATGGCTCGTGGTGGGTGCCCAAGGATGCTAACTCCTTGATCTAGCCTTGGTGGCAATCATATATCGAGGCAAAATCAAATCATGCAAGGGCAGTTGAGATGGCTTCTCATCTTCAACTCTCTCTCGCTGCCTCTCTCCCTCTCACCCCTTCTCAGCCCCTCCCCTGGCTTGCAAAAAGAGCTGAAATCCTCAAGCTCTTCTTTGTAAGGGGAAGTTTCCTTTCACTGCCCTCCTGCATCAGAGCTGCCTCGGAAAGGGGAGGCCTGATGTGGTTTTGCTGATGCCGAGCTGGACTCCAAAATCATGGAGCTGCAGCAAGCGCTGGTTCTGTTCTCCATGTTTGTGGTTGGCATATCAAAGCGTAAGTAGAAGGAACCGTGGAAACTCTGTGTTGCTTGTGTGTGTTTCTTCCTACTCGGGGGCTTCTGGGCAGTGACCGCCTCTGATTGTGCCCAGCCGTGCCGCTTTCATAGAGGAATTTGCGGTATTTAATATAGGACGGATGCTGTGATGGCGCGTTTTCCATACGTCCCCTAGGTCGGCCAGCGTTGAGTGAAATCATACCTGCCAACTTCAGGGATCCGAAAGCCAGCCAGGTGCTTTGTCATTCAGAAAGCGGGACGATTCCATCTGGTTCTCACTTTTAATACCAGCTTTGTAAATCTTCCACCAGCTTTCCAAATCCTACATAAGGTGTTGTACATCTCTCTCTTGCAGTTTCTGTTTCTCTGGCTAGTCCACTGGTGGTCTCCAGTCAAAACAAAAGACCACTTACCTGGCCAGGGAAAAAACAACGAAGACTTTTTTGGAAAGACTGGAAGCCTTATGTGGACTTTTTGTTGAAAGAAGAAAAGAGGGAGAGAGAGAAGGAAGGAAGGAAGGAAGGAAGGAAGGAAGGTTATGAAAAGAGAAGAAAACATATGCCTTCTGCCGTTCTTTCTATCGAGTAATTACCATCTTATTCTTTTCCCCATCCTCTTTGGCCCTTTTTAATCCCCAAATCCAGAAATCATCAGTTCCATCTTTTCTTCTTTCAACAAAAAGTCCACATAAGGCTTCCAGTCTTTCCAAAAAAGTCTTCGTTGTTTTTTCCCTGGCCAGGTAAGTGGTCTTTTGTTTTGACTGGAGAC